CCGAGAGCCGAGAGCCGGGCTGCAGGTGGGAGCCGAGAGGCGCGGCGAGTCCCAGGTCCCAGTCCCCGCCGGAGCGCTTCCCGAGGCCGGGCGCGTAGCCGGCGCCCTGTCAATATCTGGGGGATGAATGAGTGACGGTCGTCCCTGGGAGCTGATCTCTCAGGTACGGAAAGGAAAGGCGGTGTGGAGTGGCAAGGACGAGACATAGTGTGTGCATTTTGCAAGCTGAAGCCTTTCAAATTCGCAAGTCTGGATTGTCAAAAGCCCGGGAACTGGTCCCCCCAACCTACCCCCTGCATCTCCCCTGGAGGCCTGACTGCGAAGCCACACCACGACCTAACAGACCCCACTTTGGTTCATGTTGTCCCCTCTGATTATGCCCCTACCCACGCCGCCTTGCCCCTCTGTCTTCCTGTCCAATCCTATTTATGCTTCCCTGCCCCCAGGGAAGACAACACCCCCACTCCAATAATAACCATTTCTGCACACGCGCCCTATGAGGAAGAAACTGAAAAACGCTAATAAGCATCTTTCCGACACACCCCACTGATATTACTGTGACCACGCTGCCTTAAAGGTAGTTGTCCCGTGTTTGTGTCTGACGGCCAGCTCCTAGGGCTGTCTTCCTGTCTTTTCTAGCCACTAGACAGATGAAATGAAAAGTACTGAAGGTTTTCAGTTGCCTATTCCTAATACATTCTCCGTAAAAACCTAGGTAGTAACAGGCTGAAGGTTGTTCCTGATGGAATTACAAACGCTTACTGTAAAATATTGGAAGTGAATTTCACCTTTCCAAGGTTGTAGGGAACCTATGAAAGATGACAGTATCAAAGGATAGATATTCTTGCAGCTAGACTCGCTTTCAGGGTTTCACATTGATTTGGGTCCATAGTCCGAAAATTGGGGTATAATTTTTTTTTATTTTAAAATATTCTGGACACAGATTATATCAATGAATCAATAGTTGGATGGTTAGATAGATGAGGGAGTTTGGAAAGAGAAGTAAAAGAGGTCAGAAGAGGGACCAGCAGTTAGCGTAATGGCTATGTCGCTGGACTCCCATGTAGTCGACTGCAGCTCCAGTCCCGGACCCCGTGTCTTAAACTCACGCCTGGCGCGTGTGTGTGCGTGCCCAAGATCCCGAGAGGAGAATGGAGGAGAAGGGATTGCGGCATGGCCATCCTCCCCTGGGGGGTGATTTCTCGCTTTCTGTCTCTCTCTGTTTGTCTGGCAAGTGCACACGCCCTATAGCAAAAACCTCTCCAAAAAAAAAAAAAAAAAAAAAGAGGTCAGAAGAGCCTGTATTTTAACAGGGCCCCCGACTTGGCACCGAAAGGCTGACTAAACATAATTCATTACCTGTACAGTGGGCCTCGTACTTTAAATCAAAATCTCCTGGAGGATATTTTAAAGCACACTGCTGGCCCACCCCAGTTATTGATTCCAGTAGGTCTCGCTGTATAGAGGGGGCCTCCTTGTCAGTAGGGGCTCTGGTCATCACCATGTTGGGAAGGACCCCGAAGTTCGGGAAAGTGCGCCACTTCAGTTTCTATGAAATCAAAAAAGACTGAATGGAACTGGACAAATGCCCGAGAAGACTATGAAACAAAATCATAAGGAGATCCTGGCTTTTTCCTCATTTGATGAGTCCTTTAAAGAACTCTTTCCACCTGCCCCTCCCAGCCCTCCTCCCTATGGCCCCACAAGATTATGACCTGACAACTTCTCCCATAAATTAGTGGAATATTAATGGTCTCTCCAGTACTTCCTGTGATGATGAAAATGTTTTATGTCTGTACTATTTCCTTTTATTGTCCTCAATTTACATTGTTTCTATCTCATGGAATCAAGGATTTGGTGAATTCATCTGCTTTTATTTTTATGATTTTATAAATTTCTATCATAGGCCACTTTTTTTTTTTTTTGAGAGGTTTTTGCTATAGGGCACGTGCGCTCGCCAGAAAGACAGAGAGAGACAGAAAGCGAGAAATCGTCCCCTAGGGCGGATGGCCACGCCGCAATCCCTTCTCCTTCATTCTCCTCTCAAGATCTTGGACATGCATGCACACGCCCCCGTTGTGAGTTTAAGCCACCGGGTCTGGGACTCGAACTGCGGTTGACTACATGGGAGTCCAGCGACATAGCCATTATGCTAACTGCTGGTCCCTCATAGGTCACTCTTGACCTATATTTGTTTCAAATTGAAGAATACAACTTCACCGTAGCCAATTAACTCAGGTGTTCTGCAAACATTCACTGAATGCTAGGTGCTGTAGGGATACAAGAGAACGTAGACTCTGCAGTGTGGTAGAATAAAAGTATAGTGCTGTAAAGGTTTAATGGAATCCACATCATTTACCAGGGTCTTCCTACACGTCGTCTCAAGAGGTAGATACTATTTTCCTGTTAAGGATTCCTTTACTAGTGAGTTCCTCAGAGTTACACCGCAGCCAAATAGCTGAGCCAGAATCTGAACGTGGTCTTTCTGATTCCAGAATAGTAATAGATGCCATATCGTAATACCACGTCACCTCCCACAAACTGGGATTAACAATGTATTACGGTCACTCTTCTGCTGTGAGGCATGTGTGCTCAGCACAGAGACAGGGGGTAGAGGGGTACCGGGATGTAAGAAACCACACCCCCCAAAGGGGTGGCCACACCACAATCCTTCTACTCTCCTCTTGGGATCATGGACACGCATATGCACATGCTTGGCATGTTTTCTAAGGGTCTGGGCCTCGAACTATGCAGTTTGCCATGTAGGATCCAGTCATCTTAACTACCATACCACCCGGCTGACTTAGGAGAGCAGTTTTTAAATTAACGGGTTAATTCAGATCTTTAAGGCTGCCAAGACCCTATACTCTAACAATGGAAGTTTATTTCAAGATTGCATGAAGAAAATAAGGCATAGTAGATCAATATCCCTTACATTTTAATATAGTTCTACTTTTTTTGTGTATAAGATGTGATCCTCTTAAATGAGATAAAATATCTCTCCCACGCTTTTCTCTGTGCCCCAGCCACCTTTCTACTACTGTAGTGAGCTTGCAATCTTTAGTTTATGGGTATACATGCAGCATACCCAGTGTTTTAAAGAGTAAAAATACGTGGGACCAGCAGTTAGCGTAATGGCTATGTCGCTGGATTCCCATGTAGTCGACCGCAGTTCGCGTCCTGGACCTGGTAGCTTAAAACTCACGCCAGGCACATGTGCGTGTGTGCCCAAGATCCCGAGAAGAGAATGAAGGAGAAGGGATTGCGGCGTGGCCATCGCCCCTGGGGGGTGATTTCTCGCTTTCTGTCTGTCTGTCTTTCTGGCGAGCGCACGCGCCCTGTAGCAAAAACCTCTCAAAAAAAAAAAAAAAAAGAGTAAAAATACAGTATATATAACTATGTCCCAATTGCTTATCTTTCTTAAAACCTGTTTTCTAAGTTGTAAATGGGAAAAATAGTAGTATTCTGATAGTTGTAGGAATTTAATGAAGTAACTCATGAAAAAAAAATCTAGTGCAACACTTGGTTTATAATAAATGTTGGTGATAATGATGATGATAATACAAGATCAATTTTAACGAAATACAAAGTGGGCCCAGCAGGTAGTATGGTGGTTAAGGTGCTGGACGCCCACATGGAGGACCACAGTTCAAGTCTTAGACCCAGTGGCTTAAAACTCACGCCAGGTGCACAAATATGCATGCTCAGAGTCCTAAGAGGAGAATGGAGAGGGGTCTGCATCATGGGCATCCCCTCTGGGGACTGATTTCTCACTTTCCCTCTTACTGTCTGTCTCTCCGGCTAGCACACATGCCCTATAGCAAAAACTTTTAAAAAAGAAAGAGAAAAAAGAAAGGAAGGAAGAAAAGAAAAAAACACAAAATTACCACAACATTAAACTTGTCTGTAGCCTCACCCAAAAAAGAGCTATCTGGGGACCAGCTAGTTGCCTGGTGGTTAAGGTGCTAGACTTCCACACAGCCGACTACAGTTCAAGTTTTGGACCTGATGGCTTTGCTTTCTCACTTTACCTCTCTCTGTCTGGTGAGCACATGTATCCTATAGCAAATTTTAAAAAATAATAATAAACATAGATAAAATTAAATAAATAATTCTTTTAAAAGATTTTATTATTATTTATTTTATTTTATTTATTCATTCATTTATTTTAATTTGACTAGAGAGACACACACACACAGAGAGAGAGAGAGAGAGAGAGAAAGGGAGAAAGGAAGCTGTCAGTTCCGGGACTTGAACCATGGTCGGTCATGTGGGAGTGTCCAGCACCTTAACCACCATACCACCTGCTGGTCCCCAAGAAAAGATTTATTATAAGGAAAACTCAGGGGAGAGTACAGAAGAGATCTGGAATGAATCCACATCCTTGAATTCATTTTCTTATAGGAGCAGTCCAATATAGTTTTTGTTTGTTTGTTTGTTTGTTTGTCCTAGATTTTTGCCATAGGGCATATGCGCTCACAGGAGATAGACAGATATTGGGAAATGACTCCCCAGAGGTGAGGACCATGCCACAGTCCCTACTGCTCCATTTTCCTCTTGGGACTTTGGGCACGTGCACACACACACACACACGCACGCACACACCAGGTTCGCACGCACACACCAGGTTTTGTTTTTAAGAATTATTTTATTTAACTTTATTTATTTATTTATTTTATTTGACCAGAGAGGGACAGAGAGAGAGAGAAAGTGAGAAAGCAAGGCGCCAAGTCCAGGACTTGAGCGGTTGACCATGTGGGAGTCCAGTGCCATTAACCACCACGCCACCTGCCGGCCCTATCTGATGTGTTTTTCAAGCCACCAGATCTGGAACTCATACCATGGAGTTGGCCACGTGAGATCCAGCACCTTAACCACAGCTGCTGGCCTGTAAAATCGATTTTTTTTTAAATAAAGAATTATTTATTTAATTTTATTTATTCATTCATTTGCTTTAATTTTACCAGAGAAACAGACACATGCACACACAGAGGGAGAGAAAGAAGAGAAAGTGAAAGCCACCAGGTCCGGTACTCAAACCGTGGTCCGCCATGCAGGAGTGTCCAGCACCTTAACCACCATGCCACCTGCTGGTCCCGCAAAATAGATTTTTAAAGCTTAAAGCGACACGTAGAGGTCACATGGCCCAACCATATCATTTTATGAAAATGGAGATTCAATTTCTAAGAAACTTGTCCCCAATGATACAGCTAGTTAAAAGGAAACCAGGCCTAGAGTCACTCTCCTGACGTCTTACGTATTGCTCTTTCTGCTACACCATGCTGCCACTAACTGTACCTCACGTCAATCAAGCAATATTGGTTGAGGGCTTGCTAAGCTTAAGGCACTCTCTTGGGCCATAGAGACACGGTTCTGAACAAAGTCCTGCCTTCCGGCCTTACGTTTTATGGTGAGAATAAAGGTCAGACACAGACAAATATTGAATTAGGTGTGCGGTAAAGAAAAGTAAAGACTGAAGGACAGTGACGGATGCCGTTTTAGATAGAAGAGTTGGAAGACTCTGCAGTGAGCCATGAACCCTTCGCATTTTGAGTGAAAAATCGGTGACTTTTACCTCTCGGTCATTTTCCTGAAACATAGCAACAAAGCAGAATATGAACAAAACAAAACAAAACTTGACTTCCCAGCAGGCCCCTTGGGTTCTAGTCCTGAGTCTAATTATTGTTCCACAGTCAAGGCTGCTTAAACTTCTGGGCTTTGTCTTCTCCATTTGGAAAAACGAGAGTAAACTTCGCTTTGCGTTCATTAGAGGGTGGTTCTGAGCGCCCATGTGGTCCTACGACATTGAGGCAGGGTTTTGTAAAACTGAAATCGGCTCTGCTCGTAGGCTAGGTCATTACACGGGAACTTTACCCCTTCCCCCAAAGTGCTGAAACGCTAGCGTTTAAAAAAATGTTTTCCTCTCGATCTCTTTTCACTCACTCATCTAGGAATAATGCAACTAGAGAGGAGCAACCAGACGTTCAGCTCTAGCTACAGGCCAAGCTCCTTCACGTACAACATTAAGCGAGACGTGTACAATGAGGAGACCTTCCAGCAGGAGCACAGGAGAAAGGTCTCTACGTCTGGGAACGTGGACATCGACATCACCACCTTCAGACACCACGTCCAGTGCCAGTGAGTCTGACCATCCGGCTGCCCCCAGGCCAGGCAGGGCTGGAATAGCCTGATTCCTTGCGTACGCGCTTCTGCCTTCCTTTTCTGAATTTCTGGCATCAGAACCCGTTGCATCATTTTTCTTCAGTTGTTTTTTGCGGTTCGTTTTGTAGCACCTCCTTAACTATAAACTTGAACGTAAAAGACCTGGGGTGTCCTCACGTCATCCAAGGTGATGTTTAATAAAGATATTGTTCAATGAACCACCATGACCAATCCCCTGGCAAAAAGCATAAGGCTGCCGTGGTAGACTAACTGAAAGTTGCCCAATCAGCTCCTTTAACTGTCATGTCCAACAGAGCCCGCAGGACACCCATGGTCACCCATGTAGACCCGCCATCACCGGTCTCCTCCTCCCTGTGACTCGCTAGTCCTGCAAACCAGGGGCTTTCTCCGATTTTTGTACTATGAAACTTTTGGCCATCTGATGAAGCAAATGAACCTCTTTCCAGAATAGATTTTTTTTTTTTTTTTTTTTGTCAGAAGGGACAAT